GCGGGGGGCAGCTCTGGATTCTTCATCACAGCCAGCGAGGGCTGTGCTGCAGGAGGGCTCCTGTGCTGGCCCAGCAGAGCTCAGCCCGCAGGAACCAGGCCGGGTTGGAGGCTGTGTGCCGTCCAAGGAGAACCTTCGGCCTGAGAGCTCTTCCATTTGACAAAGTGCACTGTGGCTTCCGAAGAGGAAAGCTGAGCAGAATGTTTTATGTCTCTTACTGTTCTACTTCTAAAGAAATTCATTATTGATATACTAGGACTTTTAGATATTTCTTTCTTTGATGTGTGTGTGTATGTGTGTGTACCAGGAATTGAACTCAGGACCTCGAGTCTGCCAACCAGGCACTGTGCTGCTGAGCTATATCCCTGGCACCGCAATTATTTCTTTATTATCCCTTTTTGCTTTGGTATGTGTTATTATCCAGGAAAACACAATGTAGCTCTTGAATGTGGAAATCAACTTTATTATAACATCTTACTGGGCACAGTCTGAGTAATAGACTTACTTTCACAACTGAGAAGAACATTTACCACTTAGTATTTTTAAAAGTTATTGTCAGCATATTTATTGTCAAGTTTTGTTCACTTGTTATCAAATAAGAAATTGCAGAGTTTTCGTGGAGCTAGAACCACATTTGTCTGGGAAATTGTATAAATGGGCCAGGGCTTGCGACATATTTCAGGGGATTTGACTCCAAAGTGACTGTGTGCCTGTTGTATTTGTGACTTTTAGAAACTTTTATTGTATGATTGGTTTATAAATACATTACCTTTTTTTACCACTTGGGTCTGAGCATGTGTTTGTTTTGTGAAGGCTGGAATAGGAAAAGAGAAGATAAAACTGCCTTGTCTTTGTAAGCAGAAAAGTGATTTTCACACCTTTCTTTTCTTCATTACCGGGATCAAAGCCAGGGCCTTGCGCATTCACACCAGTGCTTTACATTAAAAAAGTACTGTACATCTTGCTGTGTAGCAGCTCTTTTCCATTTGAGGTCATGATTTAGCTGGAGGTGGGGGCTCACGCCTTTCCTTGAAGCACTCTGGGCAACTGGGACAGGAAAGCATGAGTTCAAGCCCAGCCAGGGCAGCTTAGTGACTTAGTGAGACCCAGGCTCAAAGTGAAAACATTGAAAAGAAGCCAGGGATGTTGCTCAGTGGGGAGGCTGAGGTTTAATCCCCATAATGCCTCTCTCCCACCTCAAGTTTGGAATTCTTTCTATAACTATTTCTACAGGTTGACCTTTTTTTTTGGAGGACATGGACACAGACTGCTCAGTAGCCTGGACACGTTACTCTGTATGTCAGCATTTCCCTAACTGACAGTTCCTTAAATTGTGCCCCTTGCTTTTTTATTTTATTGTTTTGGCAATATTGGAGTTTAGGCCTAGGAAACACTGAGTAACATCCCCAGCACCTGCCG